AGACAAATCTCGGAAATGGAGAACTTAGCATGAGACTCTAAATGTTCATATGTTAAGATCAGATCCTTACAATATGCACGCTTACAGCTGCATACGCTAATATTTAATTTTCGGCTAGTTAATAATAACTTGTGTAGAATTCTACTAAAGATAGGTACATAACTGATTTTGATATGGTGTAATATTTATGTCACATGTATGCTAAATATTGCACCAAGTGTTATTGATAGCTGTTGAACAATGACATCAAGGCAGGTGATACTTAGTACTGATAGGGCCTAAACATAAGTTTTGTGTAAAATCCTTCCTACGTATTTCTATGTGTGCCGGTCGTCTTTCAAAGCGTTTAAAAATTAAAAATAAAATTGTATGCACAGAATTAACAACTAATTTTAAAAAAATTCAGGTAGAACTCGCTTCAGCCTTCAACACACATGGATACATTTAAAGTGGGATAACACCGTGGTTCCATCCCTCAAATACTTATTTTTCTACGAACAGCATTTCTGAAATTAGATGAAGGGCTGCATCTCAATTACAGAATCATCTCAACAAGACTTGCAAAAGCGTCTAGTATTGATCTGCTTGCTTTTGAGGTATCGGTTCGTTGCTTCAGTGAACTAAATGGTCCCTTAAGCTTCTTAATTCGATCAGTTTGAACAGAGAGAAGTAATGATAACCTTCACTGCACCTCAAAGTTTATAGAAAATTAAATATGTTTTGTTCAGTAGCTACTAATAAGAACCAAAGGAGAATTACGGCCACAAACTCTGCACGTCTTAGTGCTGTATTTCTTCTCCGCCTTAAGAGTGGGTCTACATCAAGTCGACGGACAGCCACGTGAGGTATCGCTATCTCTTTTCAGAAGCAAAAAAGTCACGCAGTGCCATCTATTTACGATCTGTCATAAGCAACCATGTTTTAAATTGTAGTCATAGTTCTTTCCGAACTAGCAGACACTATTATTAGGCAAGCTTTGTATAGAGTTGCTAGCAGTAAGTACAGTCGTGTTCCAAACATAGAAGCACGGAGGAGGATAAGTCTCATCGCCCTGATGATGGAGGCATCAAGCACCTCTGAAACGTATGTAAACGTATACCAAACCATACGGCGCTATAACCTTGACTAACCAACGTGAAAACATCAAATATTATATTATACTTTCACTTCTTTGTAAAACCATAACCAATAATAAAATATAGCCTAGGCCTAGAGCGCCTTATTTCATTATAAGCCTATGCGTATTCAAAGAATTTATTTGTGTTTGTAGTGAATAAAACAAAAACTAACACAGGCCATTAACACAAAATTTTCCCCTGCTGTTCGGGGAAGCCTCTATTTCCGTCCTTAATCCTGATTTTCCTCAGTTCAGTGAGGCAGGTATTGAAATACATTTTTAAGGCAGAGGATGAATGCTATTTTAAAAAAAACAATTCGCTTCATTGCCTATATCGTCCGGCGAGACGTTTATATCGTGAAACGGAAAATAGGCCTATCTCGTAATAGTTGGAATATTTCACTTCGGAGTCTGCAACAAGAAGCCAATATTTACTACATTCTAATAATCAACAGAAACATCATAATAATATATACACATATGAGGGGTGGCAAGGTTAGAGGGGCGGAAACTTCCTATGGGGGGCACAAAATTTTGAAGTACTAAAAAAAAAAGGAGCGGCGCCAGAGGGTAGCAAAGTATCTAATTGCCTACGGGAGCCATGTTTGAAGGGGAGCTGAAAAGAACTGAAATCCATCCATGATAAAACTTGTTTTTTAAAAAATCGAAAAATGTAGGACTTATACATGGGGGCGGCAGAGATGCTCGGCGCGGGGCTAGGCAGGCTCATTGTGAGTGTGCGCGCGTTTTTTATCTCAGGACTTCTAGTACGGAGCATTGACCTTTCTCAAGGCCTCTTCTTAAACACAACACAGGAAAACGCATTCATCAATACTAGAGCGGGATTAGAACTCGCGACGCCAGCGTACGAGTTAACGAAGCTGCACATTCCTTACAACGCGGGATCACTGAATTTGCCATATTCTAGGTTTAAAACTCACAAAAACGAATAAAAGTATTGAAAATGCAGTGAGGCCAGAAATTGTTCGTGAATATGTAGACCCAAAATATCATTATATTTGTGGTGGTACGGAAAAGTGGGCCATAAATTATAACATCTAAGGACATAAGAAAAAATGGATGTCTATAGAACATTGGACTTAAGTTAGTATTTTATGTCACTAAATCACTGAATGGAAATTGTAAAAAGTATAAGAAGTAATAACGTAACTTGGAAGTCTGGCAGATATTTAAACATTAAATAATTACTTTTTTTATTCTTGATTTTGTACGGATTATATCCTGTGAACAGTTTCAACACTGAATTAACCTCTGAAAATACAAATCCATTTAGACACTTGATAGAGCTTTCTAGGCAGTGTTAAACATTAGGCTTACTAGAGCCATTAAACTGAAGTAGGCTGTACATGAGGTTTACGACACTACATACAAACCTCAAGAAACACTCAAATGCTAGATAACATTGTTATAAAACACTGTATCAAGTAAAGGACCTTTTATCATCATGCTAAGCGGCTGTATACACGCAAAGAAAACTACCAATTACCACGCAAATAATTTGAGAAGGCGGCAGAATGAGGGATAGGAAAAGCTGATTCACTCAGACAAGAAAAATACAATTACCGGTCTTAAAAACAAGACTAACTATAGATAAAGTACGACGAAATGCTTCTCGTGTTTTTGCCGTGACAAAACCGAAAATTTTAGTTCCATCCGGTTGTGGTCGAGTTAGCAGGAGAGTCACGGGGGAGTGGAAGCGTCCAGATAAGTGTACATCTGCGGTGTGTTACGTCGAGATGACAGCAATTAAACAGGTACTTGATAAGATTATTAATTACAGCAATCATAGTCTCTGCACGGATGAACGTCTAACTGGCACATGTATGACAGTTTTTATGAAAGAGGTTTTAAGCAAATTTTTGCATAACATGCCTAAAACCATTTTCTCTGAGCCTCGTCTAATTTTGAAGACTATGAAACATCCGATTCCTTATAATTTTAATTTACTTTCATACCTTAGTTATTCTGAAGTAACAACAAGTAAGAAATAAGATGCGATCAGATAGTTTTAGTCGTATATTTTTTGAGGGAAAACGTTACTACCATGTCCGTGTCTTTGTGCAAACAACTGATCAATTTAATTAGCTATTTTCTAAAGAGTGTCTAGCACTGCTAGGCTACCATAATATGGCTATCTGTCACCCATATCAACAAGGCGTCTGAGGTACGTTTTGAGAATTGGGATGATGAAAAATCATAAATATCTGTGACAAGATTTTCAAACTTATGTTCTAAGATCACTTAGCGTTGTACGAGAAGAATGGGTTCATATTCGACTGAGGAACTTCTAAATTGATTATGAAGAACAGATAGCAATATCAGAACAATAAAAAAATAACTTCACAAAAATACCACTGGATAACAGAAGACCGGACCAAGAAGTGCAACTAAAATTCTTGAGCATTTAATGACCATGTGATAATAATAATTATGATACTGCATACAGAGAACGGCATATATATATATTTGGACCTATAGTTCACGACGCCCAAACATGTACCTTTCTTCTCATCTCTTCCCAAAATTCTAGTCTCCTCCGAGCCCTATCGATTTTGTTGCAATCTAATGTAGGCCTATAAAATTTTAAAAGTTCTGATTATAGATAATAATTACTTATTTAAGAGAGATGGTAGGCATAAAACATCTGAACGATATATCTCGAAATTTGCTTGAAAGGGTGGAAAAATGCAGCTGAAAATATATAATGCAATTCAATAATATTCTAGTAGTTTTGCCGTCTAACATGTTCAATGCGCAGCATACCAAACTCGGCTGCCATTTAAATAACAAACATGGCAACTGGATATCAGCTGTAACTGTACCTGCATTTTTTGTTTCGTACACGAAATCACGACGAAAGTTTTTTTTCATTTTACAAACTGATCACTGAAGCTACAGCAGGAAGTCAAGTTTTCTTGGGAAAGATTTCAGTGTCATAAAAAACAGAGCTTCACTGAATCCAGTCAATGCTGACGGCTACAATAATAAACAATGGGGCGGTTTCCGTTCACTGCAAAAAAGGTGACAGGTCCTTGGACTTCTTATACGAAGATAAACTGTTGTTACAAGAATCCATAGCGACCTTTCTTCGTTCTATAAATAAGGAATATTCGCATGGACCTGTTGAGACGAAAACATGTACTTGAGACTCAGCTTAATGCCTGGTAAATGTGACTTATTTGGACGATATGATTTATAGGATTTGAGATTTCATGGCGGTGAGTTTGAAGATTTCTGTCTTCTGGGTTGTTGCCGTGTAGCCTGGTAGAAGTTTACCGACGTTTCAGAGGTCCTTGTTGCCTCATAGTTCTAACGATGGAGAAAGCGAGGACCTCTGAAACACTGGTAAACTTATACGAAACTACACGGTGGAAACCCCCCCCCAAGAAAAACATTAATCTCCGTACACAGTAATCCTATTTGATAATTTAGTACAAGAACTGTAATTTTGATTGACAGTAAGGAGAGCTATTTCTTACACTGCTTCCATAAACAGTGAATTTGTATTTTAAGAATATGCTATTTTTAGTCAACTAAATAGTTAAAAAGAAATTTAGAATTGAAATTGATTTACACTGTCTACCAGTTTCTCAAAACTCATACATTTGTAATTTTATACGAGGCTATTAATGAGAAAAAACCTATGTAATAGCCGATCAGAATTTATTTCATGCAGGAACACTTTACCATATAACCTAAATGATAGAAAGCTTCAATTTCGGACACTAATGAATAACTCAAATAATTAATTTAAAATAATTGACGTTGATAAAATTACGTCAATCTCTAATTCATCGAAAGTGATCGGAAATCTGAAATTTTTGTTTTGTCCTTTGATGCAGAAGATGAACAGACAGAGGGAGAGAGTACGTAGGAAAAAGGACACATTTATGAGGTAGTGCCACACATTTTATTTCTGGAGGAAGAAAATAGCATCTTGTTAGAAGTTTCCCAGGAAATGCCCAGTCGTCTTTCTGGTAAATATACAATGAGAGCGAAGACATTAAAGTGGTAAGTAATGGGAGCTTGATAACAGACAGACAGACAGACATAAGTGAATTTTAATTTTATAGTCAATGCAGTCTAAAAATATTTTTAAAAAATCTGTTCCAACCACAAAGGAAACATAACGCACCCCCATTACAAAAATCAGTTGGTTAGTTAATGCCATCTAGGTAAATGATCATTGTTAAATTATTATAATGTCAAGAAACCAACAGATAAACTATGTGGACAAAAGACACGTTACTGAATGTTGAAGCAGGTGGTACACATACTTGCCACTACACCTCAAAACACCACTTGTAAATTAGTACATCCTAACGCAATATGCCTTGTTCGTTGCTATTTTTACAGGTATTCTTGATACTGGCATCGCATTGAAAGCTGCCTTTTTTTCATTTAACAGAACACAAAACTACTCTTGTCAAATATAAAATTCTGATATACTACAAAAGAGTTTATAAATAACAAAGCAGTACTACATACGCCTACGGAGCATTGATTTATTTATTTTATTATTTATATGAACGTATACCATGCATAGGACGTAATACAGTGGTGTATTTTAATCGTGTCTGCCATAAATAGGGTCTGATGAACTTTTGCTGTTAAATTCAGTCGTTCTGAAAGCGAATTAGAAAATGTTTAAAAGGTCTATTGTAAAGTAAACAGAGTTTTCTTTCCACATATATGCATTTACAATAAAGCGAATTTACATATTTATTAACAGGAGAATTCCATCATGAAAATTGATAATTAAGCCAATATTACCTCATTATTTCCTGCTTGACTTATAACTAATTTTTACCCTCACGTGATTATAGGTTCCTTATAAGGCCTGCATATGAAAGTTGCGGTGGCACGCCACTTTAGCTTTACTTCGTGGTCAGAACATATACAATTTTCATTTTAAATATTAGGCAAACTTTTAAATTCTGTGGACTATAAAATAATTTTTTCTTGCTGTTACAATTAAATGTATCAAACGGCAAAAGGAATCCGCACACTTCAATAACCGTCGAACAAAAAGCTATTTTCCAAAAAGATCTAAGCACATTAAAATAATGAGGCCGTTAGCTGCGGCCACTTTCTGTACGAGATTAAAAATTAAGGGCAATTTCGTAATAATTATATATCCCAGTGGCGACTCTTCGAGATGTAGACCCTACAGGATAATGATCCTTCAGAACCTGTGTACTTTTAAATAGCTCTCAACGGATAATGAACTTTATTGAAGTGTTTATTTAGATAAGTCTATGTGTTTCGTAATGATACAAGTGCATTTAATTGACATGTTTATTAATTTTTAAATATTATTTGTCTACAGGCCTTTATCATCAAGAGCTAAGTCCTGAAACAATGTTTGTGTGTTTCGTACCAAGAATAGTTCGACCTTGAGTCATAAGCATCAGAATAAGATGCAATAGGAAGATGACTGGCTTCTAATCAATCCACACGACACAAATTGCTGACTAACGGAAAGAAGCCCAGAACCTCAGACCCGGTTAAAATACGGAACACAGGAGTGAGAAATGCCACACACACTTACGTAAAAAATGGTTTAGGCCACACAGCTTATTCCGGAATAAACTTTTTCACGCTATTTAAGCTACACAATTCTAATCTCATTATCGTGTTCCTCTTTCTGCTTTACGAAAATTCAAAATTTACGCTTATAAAAATCATTTCGAAGTTTCTTGTAGTAAAAGTGAAGGGGTATTACATAACAGAGTGAGAAGATTTTAAGAAAAAGACAGATGTGCAGTCAGCCATTTGAAATCGTTTCTCTTTACCCAGCATGCCTAGCTGACACAAGATCCAAGATGGCGGGACCCCGGCGTTTGTCAAGCTCCAGTGAGCAGACAGCTGGGCGGAGCCAGAGATACAGTGAAAAACTGCTCTGCTTTTCAACTGTTTTCAGCCCCCAAAAAACAACTTCGGTGTGGTCTACAAGTTGTATTAAATCTGAAATACGTTTTCGAAAGTGAACACATACTTTCAAGAAGTTCATTATTGATTTTGTTTTATTTTTGACCTGTGAATCTTCGTTATGAGTTTAATTCCTGTCTTTCATATAATGGTTGGTAGTACTACAGAAGGGGGGATGTCGCCATATTGGAGCAGCCTCTCCCTCCCAAAGCCAACCTCCAAGACCAGTGATGGAGCCACGAAACCAACAAGAAGGCTGAAAACAAACAATTTATTCCAGTCGCTTTATTTTCAATATTATTGTATTTAATTCCAAATAATAACGTTGTTTCAATAAATATTCCTGAACGAATACGTGGTAAGTCTAAATTAATATAAAATTGGCATTAAAGTATGTATTTGAGTAGAATTTGTGCCTGACTTCTGAATGCATGTTAGTACACAAGAATGTTTTTTCTTTGTAGTTTGGATGATCGCCATCATGGAATTGTATTTCTTCAGAATGCGATCAAACAGGCGACCGACAGAAAGATGCCCATCTCCCAAATAATAAAATTTGAAATGACCAAAATTAAATAATATTAGGGGAAATGTTTATATTTCTGTAGATAAAGTGTTCTGTGGTTAATTAAATTGATGGGGTATAGTTTACAATGTTAGGAAAGTACGAACAATTAAATGCACGGAAAATTTGAGTTTTCTTTCGCGTGGTAAATCTGGCTGGTAATAATATACCGACAATGAAAGCAGTGCTATTCGATACTGAATTATAATAAAGTAGTAAATTAATTATGAGACGAGTAACACACGTTGAAAATCTTGCGCAATTTATACGTCTAACTTGTTAGGTAACTCCAAATATAACAGGCAGAAAGAAAATCTGACGATTGCAACTTAACACCGAATCATTCCATACGAGGAACTGAATTTCTAATTTTCATATTACAGTCAATTTAGTGACTGAAAATGTTCAGTCCTCTACATATTGGAAAGTTTGTACATGTGACAAGATGGACAGTCAGATTTACTTCATTAATATGGTATGTTTCCTTTCATGCATGGTAAATAGGTGTGTTATGTATCCTAGCTAATTAAATTAAAATTCACTCTCCACCCTTGAAGAGGGATGATTAAATTAAGTTTAGTTCATTACGTAGACTAGTATTGTCATTATTAGCAGTTTCTTTCTGGGTGTTTTCAGCACTGGAATTGTTAATATGCTTAGTCAGACACGCCCTTGACTGATTTGTAATTATTCCCTTTGTGTTTCGTCGACACATTACAAAATTAAAGACAAGCAAAAGGCGTACAAGACTTCAAGAATAATTACGGAATATAGATTGCTATAATCCTTTAAAACACAGCAGGCCTACCTACCACATACTTTAACATTTAATAATTGCGTTTATGGATTCCGTATAATTTTCAGAATAAAGAGCGATGATTTTTCCAAACACCATCAGGCAATTGATCTTTGTAATCGAAATACGTCGTGTTATATTTTAGATATGCCAAGGCAGTAAATTTTTAAATATTAATTAACACTTCATTTCCTATCCTTCCTCACAGATAGGCTACATTTCATTTATAGGTTTACAAAATAAAATCAAAAGCCCTCCTTTTACAATGTGAGTATATTATCACATACGCCTAATCATTATTTCATTAGACAAAGTAATGTAACATTACAATTAAGGACAAGCAGATACACGAGTATAACACACATATGTTGCACTCTTCTGAAATGTGAGATTGTTTCACAAGCTGTGATAACATGTCTACCCAGTAAAAGTTTTTAATATTATGATATTCAGTTTCTTTAATGACTTAGTCTTGTGCCTCAATTCGTTGAATATCCCTTTTTAATAAGATGTTATCCATCAACATGTCGATACATAAACCTGTAGAACTATGTAAAGGTCCTGATCTTGTGTAATAATTAAACGGTAGGTCTACATCGGCTAAAAAACACGACCTTCAACAGCCATCGAAAGAGTGAGCAGACTTAAATGACAGGCCGGAGTTCAGTGTGCAATTTCCTCCCACCACCCCACATTTCAAGCAGCCCTGGAAATTGTTATTACATTTACATCCATCGCATTGAACGAACAAACTACACGAGGTGCCTTCTGTGAATGATACAATTTATTTTCCGTCTTTATTAGCAGACTGATCATTTTAAACGAAACACAAAAATGAAATGTGGATCTATAGGAATATATACAGGCTAAGTGAATGTAATAAATGCTATACAGTGTAGGAATACAATAGCTAATCTGAAGACTAGTTTTACGAGAAAAAAAATCTTTAATTCTTTTATAAATAACCTATACTTAATAAGACAATTTTATTCATACCCAGAAGCACATGAAAATTATATGAAGTAATTTATTCAGTACGTTGTCCGAGGTTATACTGTGAATTTTGCGTAACGTAACCTGAACGGAGTTACAGGTGTTAGTGTAATTCCATTTACAATAAAGCAAATAGTTATAAATAAAAATGTGAAGAAAGGTAGAAACAAATAAAGAGACACAATTAGAAAAATGTAAATAATTATTGCATTTAGAAGAAGGCCTTTAATGTGACATTGCGAAAACAAGAAATATTTATCCAAATATGAGCTATTCAAATTCAGAATTTCTGGTATTCCTTCATTTTAAAGGTGAACGTGGCTATGTTTTAACTGGTATTTATCGTGAAAATCTACAGGATGCACAACGAAACATAATTCACGATAATAGTCCTAAAATTATATAAAATAGAACGAGTACCAAATGAACACAAATTTAGACCGTCACCGCAAAGCCAGTTTGGTTTAAAATTAACATTTGCAGCTGCTTTGTTTTACTGTCTTAACGTTAGCTACATCTACCACAAACCATGATCTTTCTAATTCAGTTAATTAACAGCCTCGCCATTTTTAATTAAATTCATCAGATTCGTTAAGTACGGTAAGACTTAACTTCCACTGTAGCGCTGAAACGGAATGAGCTATTTCTTGGTTTATACGTTATGCTAATGAAGCATTTAACTGAATGGTCACATTGTGATAAATCATTGGATAATTACAAAATTTTGTCGTTGGAAAGTTTGCGGAATAAAGCGAAAGTAAGCTATTTAATGTTACAGCTAGGTATTTTCGCAAGGTGAGTGAGGTAAACCACGAAAATCCTACGTCTTCTGGGTGCTATTATAACCCAGAACATCTGGAATACTCAGTAGGAATGGTCATTACCTGTAACTTCTAACTCTGTAAATGACACTTTGGATAGACTACAAGCAGAATAAAATTCAAGCCACTATAAGAATACAAAATATTCCAGTGAGTGCACATTTGTCACTAGTGACATGATTTTTCGAAATGCCCTACGCTCAGACCTAGACAACACTAGTCGTTTTAAAATGCACAGGCTAAAACCTCTTTCAGTTATTCCTGTTGGTAATCAATTCAAACAGACGTTTCGACTTTGTCTAACAGATAATTCATTTTGTATGCCAACTTCATGTTTTCCAGTTCTGTTATTTTCAAACAAAACTCTCGATTACGTGCGTGAGCGCTTCCTTGCATATGCACTTATTAATTAGCAATACATGCCAAATACTAATTGAAACATCGGTTAAACCTAATATAAGAAACTTTGTTACAAAATACCTATTTTCAATTGATAAATTAATAATAAATACGTAATTAATGGTCTAAACTCAGAGCAAGAAGTAGGTTTCTCGATGAAGTAAAATATTTAAGCAGAAGTACTTTAACTGAACAATTTCAACTGCAAACCATTCGCTGTTGCCATGGTCCAAACAGGCATTTTCAAGTATCACATGCAAATAGGCGTATAGATAGATCCAGGCCTACGTTTACTTATTCAGTTTTGTGACCACGTATCTTACAGCCCCTCCGAGGAATTAATAACGTCAGCAGTTGTGATCACAAAATCATTTATTTAAGACGAAGTTTTATATCACAGAAATACAAATATCATTATCTCGCTACACCCAATTTATCTCATTACACTGAAAAGATATTTTTTAAACACATTCTGGGACTGTACCGGTATTATAAACCTTTTCTTATGTGCACGTAATTACCTGTTGGGCAAAACATGTTACTACCAAAAACAGACACGAAACTTTGACCTGCAAATAAAATAATATTTAGGCCTACTCGTACAAAATTTTATAACAGTTGTTTCTTAAAAACATTTAGAACATATTGAGCGGTTTACTGCATGTACAGTCGTAGGCATGTGGTAATTGTTTTGTACAGTGCTTACAATAAAGCAAAACACTAAAACACCTTTTCCATACCCAACGTAATTAATAATTCATGTACCTCATACTGAGCCTAGCAATTTGTGTGGACTGTAAAATTACAAGGATCAGTTTTTCTGCCTTTGTAGTTAAAGAAGCCTCGAAATTTCTGTAGCACAACAAACATAATTCAGAGAGATTGTTTGGGTCTTGTCTTTTCTTGTTTGTTTTATCCTACTCAAATCCAGTGTGCAGCATAAGAATGAAAATTCTTGTTTTCATACCACAGTATTGCCCACAATAACCCCCCAAAAAAGTACCGAAACAAATGGCAAATAGCCATACATTCCTTCATCGTCATAATTACAATTTCTGGAGCAACTTTAATTAAATAACTATAGGCTTTAATTTCCTAATTGTTAAGTGTATGTCTCTCATAGTCTTTGACTGATATCACCTTTGTTTACCGCTGGAATAAAAAATAAAACTCAAAATCTTTCGAAACTGGCTACTACCTAACAAAGTAAGTAGACCTAGATGTTAACAGACTTCATTTTCAGGAAATTTACTCTTGTAAGAATGTACTTCTTAATTGTAGGGCGTTTATTTCATTTTAATAATTATAATTATTTGTTTCGACATCTTAAAGCCGGAAATACGCTCTTAAACTTAAAGTTTCCATAGTGCATAAGGCAGAAACCCGTCATTTGAAGCGCCATTTTGTACTCACCTCACAAGCGGGGGGCCGGTCGTCTTGAAACCGGGCGATTGGTGGTCCACATCCCGCCAACAGGAGCAGCGTCTCCCCGACAGCTGTCCGCCATGTTCCGCACAAACCCATCCCGCCGTCTGCCTCTGTTCTCAGCGTGCTAACTGTAGGTTCCCGCTTCGGTTTTTACGGTCAACTATAAAAGTAACGGAAATGGTCCATTTAGTTGACATTTAAAGACAGATAAAATAAGCTAAGGCTCGTACCTCTCTTTCTCATTCAAGTTTTACAGACACAACTAAAGAGACAGATATTACAGTACAACCCAAAACGAGGAATATTGCTTGTCTCTAAAAGAATGTTTGAAATCAAGGTTCAGTGTCTGCGTTTACACGTAAAGTAGTTTGTTCAAGAAAACAGGGCGGATAAAACTGCCGATAAACGGTTTCAAAGCAAATAAAAAGCCTTTTGAGCATATAAACGATATCACTTGGCAGATAACTGAAACGAAAGTCAGCTGCTAGCCAAATTGTTATGGCTCAGGTGGACTCGTCGGCTTTACAACCACCCCCCTCCCATTAACCAGGGGCACAACCTTTTAATAGGCCAAAATGAATTACTTCACATTTTATTTAACTCGACCTCAAATTTCGACAGTTTTTTCCTCATATCTACAAAGATTTTTGGGACGACATGAAGGAATAAAGCCATAAGAATTAATATAAACATTTGCTGAAACGAATACGAATATTATTTTACTGGGAAAAGAATATTCAATTTATGAAGATATAAAAATACTTCATTCCTATAGCTTCCTTCATCCGGTGTTACATTCCTGAATCAAGTTATAGGCCTACTGTGTACTCAGCTCCGTTAATGAAGCGAGTGTTCTGATCTTAGACGCGGCTGGAGAAATCACAAATTATAATTTATAGACCTGTCTGTAGACCTGTAGAGGGAACGGGCCAATTTACACTTCACTAGAATGCTATTGAGGTGACCTTTCTTTTGGTTGAAACAGAAACGTATTTAAAACATTTTTCTCCCTTTTATCTGCCAATTAGACGGTAAAATAATTAGATCGACTTTAAGGTGAACAATATGCATGCCTACAATGAAGAAAATCAACACTAAGCCATTAAACTAATCGCGTAAGCTTGCTGATGGGACTTAAATCAACAAGTTACATGTGTTCACATTCAGTTTTAGAGGTAGCTTAATATTTTAGTATTATTACAGTTTTTATGGGTACGAAACTTGGTCTGTTTGTCTATGGAAGACACATAGTTGAAGACCGTAAGGGGGCGAAGTGCCGACGACAATATTCCGTACTAATGGCGATGAAGGAACAGCAGAATTAATAAAATTACCTACAGGTCCCAGTCCGAGAAAAGGATGGAAGGATCCTGTTCATATGGACCTGTCGTCAGACAGAACACTAAATAAATAAATAAGGTCACGTACTCTTCGCCGGGTCATACTAAGAGGAATCCAGCCAAATGGAATAAGTTATGCTCTATACAAACAGCGTCTTACTGATCAATGCACAACAGAAGCTACCTTTGTCCACTTTCCATCATTGTTTTGTTTCTCTGGTCATGTTGACATGATGGATAAGGATATTAGGCTTATGATACGTCAAAAACTGTGAATTAAACGCTCAGCGCGTGCATATTGATTGCCAAGTTTTAAATGGTCTACATGAGGAAAACTGTAGAATAACCTACAGGATTAGTCAGTATTATTTCAGGACTCCGTGGTCCTACATGAGCCAAAACTGACGAGAAAGGACACAAATTAGGTTCTTACGGCGGTGAATATAAAAATTACTGAGTTATGGGACGTTTCTCCATGTAGTTTGTTAGAAATTTACCGACGTTTCAGAGGTCCTTGGTACTTCCATCATCAGGCCGAAGGTGATGGCTCTCATGATGAAGGCAGTAATCTACATCTGAAACGTCAGTAAATTTATACCAGACTACATGGGGCATGATCCCATAAAGCCGTCATCTTTGGACACCAATCAGTTCAGAAGAGAAGCTTCAGACTGCGCGAGACACATTCTTTGTCCATTAATGAAGTTGTCGCTAAGACTTCAAAACTAAAATAGTAGGAAACCGTTCGGCCCGCTTTCGTGCAATAGTCGTTTCATATGATTGTGTGACTTCGAATTTAAAGCAATGTCATTTTTCAATCAAATCGTGGTTTGTAGTTTTATGAAACTGATTTCATGCAACAAATTTTCTGTGTATGAATCGACTTTGGGTAATAAAACAAAGAGCACCAAATATGCGGCATAACTCTCACGAGATGGGTATGAAATGTAATCACAGTTTCTGTTGGAAAATATGACGGTATAGACCGCTTTGAAGGTCTTGGCGTAATCGGAAGGATAATATTAAAGTGAATCTTAAAAACAAAGAATGTGAAGATGTAGATTGGATTCTTATGAAGATGGTAACGAATCTAGAGAGCCCTCCAGCTTCAGAGTAGTTCTTTATCAAGAAATGCCCCACCTTTTGCTTTTTTCAGTTAATAGAGTTGCGGTTATATTCCTACTGGCCAGTGTCCAACGCCTGAGTTATGGCTAATTCAAAATAATGCTTACGTCTAGTACTTAATAACCCATGCTGCCAAAAATATGACAACCAGTATAGAAGTAGATATTTATAAAACCGAATCAAAATTTAGTATGTTATTTTTAATGGTTTATTTTAAATTGTCTGACTTCATTTTATTTTGAAATCTGAAAATAAGCTCGGATGAGTTATGCCTGAAACGTCTCCACGTGAACGTAAATAAACTACTTAATTTTACTCACCCAAATGTGCAGGTTTAAACAAATTTATCAGCGCAGTTTTTCAGCATTTCTTTCCTTTGACACTGACGCATTCGTGAAGAAAGAAAAACGTAATTTTCCCTCTAAAGAACAGATATGGGCCTACTCTAAATGTAGTAAAGTACGAATCAATAAGACAGGAAACTGTACTCTTATAGCTGGCAAGGTAACATCTTACCACTTAACAGGATTAATAAGTATACATATGATGAATATCATTAGCAAATATTTTTGTCAAAGGAATTTGTTTAGCATGGAAACAGTTTCCAATATTGCAAGTTTAAAAAATGATGGTTTATTATTTAACGAAGTTGTATCAAATATATTTCTTAGACGCCTAATGGGTCTAGTGTACCTATTTGCAGGTACTACACCAGCTTTCGCCTTGGTGTGACTGAAGTACACTGCGAATCGTTTAGTCTCAACGTCCATGTTCTAGGATCAATCTCTGAACTGTTTTTATTCAACAATATAAATATTTCAGTTCATGTTAACAGCATTTAGTTGATCATTGCAGTAGAGTCATAGCAGTTCTTGATAGGCATAAGGATTAATCAGACTTATAATAAGATTTTACTTCGTGAGATTTCAAGTTCTCATAGCGGCAAATATCAAAATTGCTGTGTAAAATTTGAGGTTAAAAATTGCTGTTGTCTGGGTTGTAGCGTCGTGAATAGCTCTCAACGGATAATGAACTTTATTGAAGTGTTTATTTAGATAAGTCTATGTGTTTCGTAATGATACAAGTGCATTTAATTGACATGTTTATTAATTTTTAAATATTATTTGTCTACAGGCCTTTATCATCAAGAGCTAAGTCCTGAAACAATGTTTGTGTGTTTCGTACCAAGAATAGTTCGACCTTGAGTCATAAGCATCAGAATAAGATGCAATAGGAAGATGACTGGCTTCTAATCAATCCACACGACACAAATTGCTGACTAACGGAAAGAAGCCCAGAACCTCAGACCCGGTTAAAATACGGAACACAGGAGTGAGAAATGCCACACACACTTACGTAAAAAATGGTTTAGGCCACACAGCTTATTCCGGAATAAACTTTTTCACGCTATTTAAGCTACACAATTCTAATCTCATTATCGTGTTCCTCTTTCTGCTTTACGAAAATTCAAAATTTACGCTTATAAAAATCATTTCGAAGTTTCTTGTAGTAAAAGTGAAGGGGTATTACATAACAGAGTGAGAAGATTTTAAGAAAAAGACAGATGTGCAGTCAGCCATTTGAAATCGTTTCTCTTTACCCAGCATGCCTAGCTGACACAAGATCCAAGATGGCGGGACCCCGGCGTTTGTCAAGCTCCAGTGAGCAGACAGCTGGGCGGAGCCAGAGATACAGTGAAAAACTGCTCTGCTTTTCAACTGTTTTCAGCCCCCAAAAAACAACTTCGGTGTGGTCTACAAGTTGTATTAAATCTGAAATACGTTTTCGAAAGTGAACACATACTTTCAAGAAGTTCATTATTGATTTTGTTTTATTTTTGACCTGTGAATCTTCGTTATGAGTTTAATTCCTGTCTTTCATATAATGGTTGGTAGTACTACAGAAGGGGGGATGTCGCCATATTGGAGCAGCCTCTCCCTCCCAAAGCCAACCTCCAAGACCAGTGATGGAGCCACGAAACCAACAAGAAGGCTGAAAACAAACAATTTATTCCAGTCGCTTTATTTTCAATATTATTGTATTTAATTCCAAATAATAACGTTGTTTCAATAAATATTCCTGAACGAATACGTGGTAAGTCTAAATTAATATAAAATTGGCATTAAAGTATGTATTTGAGTAGAATTTGTGCCTGACTTCTGAATGCATGTTAGTACACAAGAATGTTTTTTCTTTGTAGTTTGGATGATCGCCATCATGGAATTGTATTTCTTCAGAATGCGATCAAACAGGCGACCGACAGAAAGATGCCCATCTCCCAAATAATAAAATTTGAAATGACCAAAATTAAATAATATTAGGGGAAATGTTTATATTTCTGTAGATAAAGTGTTCTGTGGTTAATTAAATTGATGGGGTATAGTTTACAATGTTAGGAAAGTACGAACAATTAAATGCACGGAAAATTTGAGTTTTCTTTCGCGTGGTAAATCTGGCTGGTAATAATATACCGACAATGAAAGCAGTGCTATTCGATACTGAATTATAATAAAGTAGTAAATTAATTATGAGACGAGTAACACACGTTGAAAATCTTGCGCAATTTATACGTCTAACTTGTTAGGTAACTCCAAATATAACAGGCAGAAAGAAAATCTGACGATTGCAACTTAACACCGAATCATTCCATACGAGGAACTGAATTTCTAATTTTCATATTACAGTCAATTTAGTGACTGAAAATGTTCAGTCCTCTACATATTGGAAAGTTTGTACATGTGACAAGATGGACAGTCAGATTTACTTCATTAATATGGTATGTTTCCTTTCATGCATGGTAAATAGGTGTGTTATGTATCCTAGCTAATTAAATTAAAATTCACTCTCCACCCTTGAAGAGGGATGATTAAATTAAGTTTAGTTCATTACGTAGACTAGTATTGTCATTATTAGCAGTTTCTTTCTGGGTGTTTTCAGCACTGGAATTGTTAATATGCTTAGTCAGACACGCCCTTGACTGATTTGTAATTATTCCCTTTGTGTTTCGTCGACACATTACAAAATTAAAGACAAGCAAAAGGCGTACAAGACTTCAAGAATAATTACGGAATATAGATTGCTATAATCCTTTAAAACACAGCAGGCCTACCTACCACATACTTTAACATTTAATAATTGCGTTTATGGATTCCGTATAATTTTCAGAATAAAGAGCGATGATTTTTCCAAACACCATCAGGCAATTGATCTTTGTAATCGAAATACGTCGTGTTATATTTTAGATATGCCAAGGCAGTAAATTTTTAAATATTAATTAACACTTCATTTCCTATCCTTCCTCACAGATAGGCTACATTTCATTTATAGGTTTACAAAATAAAATCAAAAGCCCTCCTTTTACAATGTGAGTATATTATCACATACGCCTAATCATTATTTCATTAGACAAAGTAATGTAACATTACAATTAAGGACAAGCAGATACACGAGTATAACACACATATGTTGCACTCTTCTGAAATGTGAGATTGTTTCACAAGCTGTGATAACATGTCTACCCAGTAAAAGTTTTTAATATTATGATATTCAGTTTCTTTAATGACTTAGTCTTGTGCCTCAATTCGTTGAATATCCCTTTTTAATAAGATGTTATCCATCAACATGTCGATACATAAACCTGTAGAACTATGTAAAGGTCCTGATCTTGTGTAATAATTAAACGGTAGGTCTACATCGGCTAAAAAACACGACCTTCAACAGCCATCGAAAGAGTGAGCAGACTTAAATGACAGGCCGGAGTTCAGTGTGCAATTTCCTCCCACCACCCCACATTTCAAGCAGCCCTGGAAATTGTTATTACATTTACATCCATCGCATTGAACGAACAAACTACACGAGGTGCCTTCTGTGAATGATACAATTTATTTTCCGTCTTTATTAGCAGACTGATCATTTTAAACGAAACACAAAAATGAAATGTGGATCTATAGGAATATATACAGGCTAAGTGAATGTAATAAATGCTATACAGTGTAGGAATACAATAGCTAATCTGAAGACTAGTTTTACGAGAAAAAAAATCTTTAATTCTTTTATAAATAACCTATACTTAATAAGACAATTTTATTCATACCCAGAAGCACATGAAAATTATATGAAGTAATTTATTCAGTACGTTGTCCGAGGTTATACTGTGAATTTTGCGTAACGTAACCTGAACGGAGTTACAGGTGTTAGTGTAATTCCATTTACAATAAAGCAAATAGTTATAAATAAAAATGTGAAGAAAGGTAGAAACAAATAAAGAGACACAATTAGAAAAATGTAAATAATTATTGCATTTAGAAGAAGGCCTTTAATGTGACATTGCGAAAACAAGAAATATTTATCCAAATATGAGCTATTCAAATTCAGAATTTCTGGTATTCCTTCATTTTAAAGGTGAACGTGGCTATGTTTTAACTGGTATTTATCGTGAAAATCTACAGGATGCACAACGAAACATAATTCACGATAATAGTCCTAAAATTATATAAAATAGAACGAGTACCAAATGAACACAAATTTAGACCGTCACCGCAAAGCCAGTTTGGTTTAAAATTAACATTTGCAGCTGCTTTGTTTTACTGTCTTAACGTTAGCTACATCTACCACAAACCATGATCTTTCTAATTCAGTTAATTAACAGCCTCGCCATTTTTAATTAAATTCATCAGATTCGTTAAGTACGGTAAGACTTAACTTCCACTGTAGCGCTGAAACGGAATGAGCTATTTCTTGGTTTATACGTTATGCTAATGAAGCATTTAACTGAATGGTCACATTGTGATAAATCATTGGATAATTACAAAATTTTGTCGTTGGAAAGTTTGCGGAATAAAGCGAAAGTAAGCTATTTAATGTTACAGCTAGGTATTTTCGCAAGGTGAGTGAGGTAAACCACGAAAATCCTACGTCTTCTGGGTGCTATTATAACCCAGAACATCTGGAATACTCAGTAGGAATGGTCATTACCTGTAACTTCTAACTCTGTAAATGACACTTTGGATAGACTACAAGCAGAATAAAATTCAAGCCACTATAAGAATACAAAATATTCCAGTGAGTGCACATTTGTCACTAGTGACATGATTTTTCGAAATGCCCTACGCTCAGACCTAGACAACACTAGTCGTTTTAAAATGCACAGGCTAAAACCTCTTTCAGTTATTCCTGTTGGTAATCAATTCAAACAGACGTTTCGACTTTGTCTAACAGATAATTCATTTTGTATGCCAACTTCATGTTTTCCAGTTCTGTTATTTTCAAACAAAACTCTCGATTACGTGCGTGAGCGCTTCCTTGCATATGCACTTATTAATTAGCAATACATGCCAAATACTAATTGAAACATCGGTTAAACCTAATATAAGAAACTTTGTTACAAAATACCTATTTTCAATTGATAAATTAATAATAAATACGTAATTAATGGTCTAAACTCAGAGCAAGAAGTAGGTTTCTCGATGAAGTAAAATATTTAAGCAGAAGTACTTTAACTGAACAATTTCAACTGCAAACCATTCGCTGTTGCCATGGTCCAAACAGGCATTTTCAAGTATCACATGCAAATAGGCGTATAGATAGATCCAGGCCTACGTTTACTTATTCAGTTTTGTGACCACGTATCTTACAGCCCCTCCGAGGAATTAATAACGTCAGCAGTTGTGATCACAAAATCATTTATTTAAGACGAAGTTTTATATCACAGAAATACAAATATCATTATCTCGCTACACCCAATTTATCTCATTACACTGAAAAGATATTTTTTAAACACATTCTGGGACTGTACCGGTATTATAAACCTTTTCTTATGTGCACGTAATTACCTGTTGGGCAAAACATGTTACTACCAAAAACAGACACGAAACTTTGACCTGCAAATAAAATAATATTTAGGCCTACTCGTACAAAATTTTATAACAGTTGTTTCTTAAAAACATTTAGAACATATTGAGCGGTTTACTGCATGTACAGTCGTAGGCATGTGGTAATTGTTTTGTACAGTGCTTACAATAAAGCAAAACACTAAAACACCTTTTCCATACCCAACGTAATTAATAATTCATGTACCTCATACTGAGCCTAGCAATTTGTGTGGACTGTAAAATTACAAGGATCAGTTTTTCTGCCTTTGTAGTTAAAGAAGCCTCGAAATTTCTGTAGCACAACAAACATAATTCAGAGAGATTGTTTGGGTCTTGTCTTTTCTTGTTTGTTTTATCCTACTCAAATCCAGTGTGCAGCATAAGAATGAAAATTCTTGTTTTCATACCACAGTATTGCCCACAATAACCCCCCAAAAAAGTACCGAAACAAATGGCAAATAGCCATACATTCCTTCATCGTCATAATTACAATTTCTGGAGCAACTTTAATTAAATAACTATAGGCTTTAATTTCCTAATTGTTAAGTGTATGTCTCTCATAGTCTTTGACTGATATCACCTTTGTTTACCGCTGGAATAAAAAATAAAACTCAAAATCTTTCGAAACTGGCTACTACCTAACAAAGTAAGTAGACCTAGATGTTAACAGACTTCATTTTCAGGAAATTTACTCTTGTAAGAATGTACTTCTTAATTGTAGGGCGTTTATTTCATTTTAATAATTATAATTATTTGTTTCGACATCTTAAAGCCGGAAATACGCTCTTAAACTTAAAGTTTCCATAGTGCATAAGGCAGAAACCCGTCATTTGAAGCGCCATTTTGTACTCACCTCACAAGCGGGGGGCCGGTCGTCTTGAAACCGGGCGATTGGTGGTCCACATCCCGCCAACAGGAGCAGCGTCTCCCCGACAGCTGTCCGCCATGTTCCGCACAAACCCATCCCGCCGTCTGCCTCTGTTCTCAGCGTGCTAACTGTAGGTTCCCGCTTCGGTTTTTACGGTCAACTATAAAAGTAACGGAAATGGTCCATTTAGTTGACATTTAAAGACAGATAAAATAAGCTAAGGCTCGTACCTCTCTTTCTCATTCAAGTTTTACAGACACAACTAAAGAGACAGATATTACAGTACAACCCAAAACGAGGAATATTGCTTGTCTCTAAAAGAATGTTTGAAATCAAGGTTCAGTGTCTGCGTTTACACGTAAAGTAGTTTGTTCAAGAAAACAGGGCGGATAAAACTGCCGATAAACGGTTTCAAAGCAAATAAAAAGCCTTTTGAGCATATAAACGATATCACTTGGCAGATAACTGAAACGAAAGTCAGCTGCTAGCCAAATTGTTATGGCTCAGGTGGACTCGTCGGCTTTACAACCACCCCCCTCCCATTAACCAGGGGCACAACCTTTTAATAGGCCAAAATGAATTACTTCACATTTTATTTAACTCGACCTCAAATTTCGACAGTTTTTTCCTCATATCTACAAAGATTTTTGGGACGACATGAAGGAATAAAGCCATAAGAATTAATATAAACATTTGCTGAAACGAATACGAATATTATTTTACTGGGAAAAGAATATTCAATTTATGAAGATATAAAAATACTTCATTCCTATAGCTTCCTTCATCCGGTGTTACATTCCTGAATCAAGTTATAGGCCTACTGTGTACTCAGCTCCGTTAATGAAGCGAGTGTTCTGATCTTAGACGCGGCTGGAGAAATCACAAATTATAATTTATAGACCTGTCTGTAGACCTGTAGAGGGAACGGGCCAATTTACACTTCACTAGAATGCTATTGAGGTGACCTTTCTTTTGGTTGAAACAGAAACGTATTTAAAACATTTTTCTCCCTTTTATCTGCCAATTAGACGGTAAAATAATTAGATCGACTTTAAGGTGAACAATATGCATGCCTACAATGAAGAAAATCAACACTAAGCCATTAAACTAATCGCGTAAGCTTGCTGATGGGACTTAAATCAACAAGTTACATGTGTTCACATTCAGTTTTAGAGGTAGCTTAATATTTTAGTATTATTACAGTTTTTATGGGTACGAAACTTGGTCTGTTTGTCTATGGAAGACACATAGTTGAAGACCGTAAGGGGGCGAAGTGCCGACGACAATATTCCGTACTAATGGCGATGAAGGAACAGCAGAATTAATAAAATTACCTACAGGTCCCAGTCCGAGAAAAGGATGGAAGGATCCTGTTCATATGGACCTGTCGTCAGACAGAACACTAAATAAATAAATAAGGTCACGTACTCTTCGCCGGGTCATACTAAGAGGAATCCAGCCAAATGGAATAAGTTATGCTCTATACAAACAGCGTCTTACTGATCAATGCACAACAGAAGCTACCTTTGTCCACTTTCCATCATTGTTTTGTTTCTCTGGTCATGTTGACATGATGGATAAGGATATTAGGCTTATGATACGTCAAAAACTGTGAATTAAACGCTCAGCGCGTGCATATTGATTGCCAAGTTTTAAATGGTCTACATGAGGAAAACTGTAGAATAACCTACAGGATTAGTCAGTATTATTTCAGGACTCCGTGGTCCTACATGAGCCAAAACTGACGAGAAAGGACACAAATTAGGTTCTTACGGCGGTGAATATAAAAATTACTGAGTTATGGGACGTTTCTCCATGTAGTTTGTTAGAAATTTACCGACGTTTCAGAGGTCCTTGGTACTTCCATCATCAGGCCGAAGGTGATGGCTCTCATGATGAAGGCAGTAATCTACATCTGAAACGTCAGTAAATTTATACCAGACTACATGGGGCATGATCCCATAAAGCCGTCATCTTTGGACACCAATCAGTTCAGAAGAGAAGCTTCAGACTGCGCGAGACACATTCTTTGTCCATTAATGAAGTTGTCGCTAAGACTTCAAAACTAAAATAGTAGGAAACCGTTCGGCCCGCTTTCGTGCAATAGTCGTTTCATATGATTGTGTGACTTCGAATTTAAAGCAATGTCATTTTTCAATCAAATCGTGGTTTGTAGTTTTATGAAACTGATTTCATGCAACAAATTTTCTGTGTATGAATCGACTTTGGGTAATAAAACAAAGAGCACCAAATATGCGGCATAACTCTCACGAGATGGGTATGAAATGTAATCACAGTTTCTGTTGGAAAATATGACGGTATAGACCGCTTTGAAGGTCTTGGCGTAATCGGAAGGATAATATTAAAGTGAATCTTAAAAACAAAGAATGTGAAGATGTAGATTGGATTCTTATGAAGATGGTAACGAATCTAGAGAGCCCTCCAGCTTCAGAGTAGTTCTTTATCAAGAAATGCCCCACCTTTTGCTTTTTTCAGTTAATAGAGTTGCGGTTATATTCCTACTGGCCAGTGTCCAACGCCTGAGTTATGGCTAATTCAAAATAATGCTTACGTCTAGTACTTAATAACCCATGCTGCCAAAAATATGACAACCAGTATAGAAGTAGATATTTATAAAACCGAATCAAAATTTAGTATGTTATTTTTAATGGTTTATTTTAAATTGTCTGACTTCATTTTATTTTGAAATCTGAAAATAAGCTCGGATGAGTTATGCCTGAAACGTCTCCACGTGAACGTAAATAAACTACTTAATTTTACTCACCCAAATGTGCAGGTTTAAACAAATTTATCAGCGCAGTTTTTCAGCATTTCTTTCCTTTGACACTGACGCATTCGTGAAGAAAGAAAAACGTAATTTTCCCTCTAAAGAACAGATATGGGCCTACTCTAAATGTAGTAAAGTACGAATCAATAAGACAGGAAACTGTACTCTTATAGCTGGCAAGGTAACATCTTACCACTTAACAGGATTAATAAGTATACATATGATGAATATCATTAGCAAATATTTTTGTCAAAGGAATTTGTTTAGCATGGAAACAGTTTCCAATATTGCAAGTTTAAAAAATGATGGTTTATTATTTAACGAAGTTGTATCAAATATATTTCTTAGACGCCTAATGGGTCTAGTGTACCTATTTGCAGGTACTACACCAGCTTTCGCCTTGGTGTGACTGAAGTACACTGCGAATCGTTTAGTCTCAACGTCCATGTTCTAGGATCAATCTCTGAACTGTTTTTATTCAACAATATAAATATTTCAGTTCATGTTAACAGCATTTAGTTGATCATTGCAGTAGAGTCATAGCAGTTCTTGATAGGCATAAGGATTAATCAGACTTATAATAAGATTTTACTTCGTGAGATTTCAAGTTCTCATAGCGGCAAATATCAAAATTGCTGTGTAAAATTTGAGGTTAAAAATTGCTGTTGTCTGGGTTGTAGCGTAACTGGTAAAAGGATGCCGACGTTTCAGAGGTGCTTGCTGCCTGCATCATCGGTGAGTGAGTAAGCACCTCTAACGCTTACTTCAGATATGAGAGAAATTCCCAAGTACCAAATGAACTGATTTCTGTCAGGTAACTGATATAGGAGATGTGATCTAATTGCATTCTCCACATTTTCGTATGTCCTCGATCTCTATAAATTCTATATGCCCTGGTGTCTTTTCATATATCGAAAACAGACAAATAATTTGGATATAGTTTTAGGCCTTTTAAGATATATAAAGACGGTGACTGGATTCATCTAGCACAGAATAGGAACTAGTGAGAAACTACTGTGAACACAGTATGAATTTATGGATTTCATAAAAAGTAAGCAGTTTTTTGATTAACTCAGCAAAGATTATCTACTGAAGAAGAACGTTATTTCGTGGAGTTCCTCAAAGTAAATAACGCTGTAATCTATTTCTGATTTGATTACATTATAGTCTTTATGTTAAGTAAAAACAAGCTTTATTGAACATGTATGCGTATTTCAAAATCGGTAGAAATTTTTACAGGCTAAAAATAAACAAGTAAACCGAAGAATAAAGATTGTCATGACTTCAGCTCCAGCTCGATGATTTGAATACGTGAATCAGCATAAATTATGTCCCAGCACAATTTGAATATTGTGAAAAATACTCAGAGCTACAGATTCACTTTTCGCATCATACAGTCCACTACCCATAAAAGTTCCAATATCAAGAAGCTGTTACTATTAAAGTAAGCATTTTATATAGTCCGCTTGGACTTAGCTGCAAACTTCTGAGGCCTGACTTTGGCAAGGGAAGAAAAAGGTTGGGGGTTGAAAGTATCCCTAAAGCTATAGATAGCCCATACAGCCAGAAGAGGAATACGACGTACTAGATGCACTTTTCAAAACGTGTAGCTTATAGGATTCTTATGGGCACTACATGAGCCTGTAATATGAAAAGGTCGAAGAAGGAAGATTTTTGTGGTGGGTAAAGGGTAGGATAGGAAAAGGGAAGGAATGGCAATGGAAGTTTTTCACGTCACGCAAAGAGGTAAGCGGTCCCTGGTGTAGAATTGTCCAGGAGGACTGTTGCAGAGCTTGCTAAGTCAGGTCCGTAGTAAAAACATCGGTTTGAGGTACCTCTGACATCAGGCTCCGGACACACCGGGTATGTACCGTATAAACCTCCTACTTTTGGTCAATGGACGAAACAGGGGCCTCTATAGAATAACTTCAATTGATGTAAAGACGCTGACATACATTTGCTACACGCTTACATCAGGAAAAAAACAAAGTTTATTAGTGGCTACATGCTTAACTTTGGACTGGAATGTAATACGAAGGCAGATAAGAATTTTTAAAACAAAATTAAAAAGTAATTTTCTTGTGAGTTAAGAAAAGAGCTATGTCTGAAATTAAGACCACAAGAAGGGACTAAGGTTTCGACTGCTTTGCCTGGTCTGGTCTATCATTTACCTTCTGGGGAACCGAGAATGGTACAAAACACTAGTAAGTTAGAATGATAACAAAGTGTAAAATAAAGCCTTGACAAAATAAATTTTAATAGCAACACATTATTCTTTCAAACAATTTATAAACGTGTCTGTATTTCCGTTTGACTTGTTAATTTATATTGGGCTTCCATAGCACAGTGAATAAATACGTTTTTACGCGTTA